ATTTTCTTAAACACAAGTAAGAAGTATTCAGGCGAGTAAAATCCGTAAAGCAATGATTTCTTAAATTTACGCGAACACTACACATTGAATAAAACTAAATTTACGGATTCTACCGCGTTTAATTAATTACTTTAATTTATTTTTAATTCCCGACGTTTCGGGTGCTTTACAGCACCCATGGTCACGGGGGGACTGAGATGTTTGACGTCCCAATGTCATTGTTAGTCCGGCTAACTTCAGTTTTTGAATATTAATTTTTGGTGCGATTTACGCAAAACGAGCTTACAGTATCTTGAAGTCCTGCAGTGGTATGCTTGGGTTTGGGTTTAATTTTGTTAATTATAGGATCCCAAGCAGATGGCAGCATCCATCTTCTCTATCGAAATTAGGACGTTTTTTAATTTCAATAGCCTCGCGTATCATCCATGGTAGGAATCGGTGTTCTTTTGCGAGGATTTGTGGTTTATCAAATCTGATGTAATTGTGGGGACGATCTTGAACATGTTCACAGACTGCAACTTCTCGGAGCGTCGGTGCTTCACGTCAGCTATATGTTCTTTCACGCGGGTTTTATGGATTTTTTTATTTGACCTATGTTATAGAGACCACATTCACAATCTATCTAACTCAAGTTAGAATGTCCCCCCGTGACCATGGGTGCTGTAAACAGAAACAGAAACAGAAACAGAAACGTTTTTATTCAATGTAGATTACAACAATACTTATTGAAAGTCACTTTTTTCATTTACCACTGGTTCGCAAAAAAAACCTCTGTCCTGGGAAGAACCAGCAAGAAACCCAGCGGGTCTATTTTTTTTTCAATAATAGCTTACAATAATGTTTACAATAAACAACACAAGACAAATTAGAAATAGCTAGGTAGCGATCACCCTTCCCCGGGGTTATTATCATCTATAAATTCCTTAATATTATAGTAACCCTTTTTATACAAACTTAGTTTAATAACATTTTTGAACTTCGTGTATGACAAATTTTGTATATTTTCTGGGATTTTGTTGTAAAAGCGTATACATCGCCCCAAGAATGAATTACTGACTCGGTGGAGTCGAGTAACTGGTACTACTAGCTTGTGTCTGTTCCTAGTATTTACAGAATGAATATCACTTATTTTCGCAAAACTACTTTAATTTTTGTGACGTACATTACATTTTCATAAATCTATTGAGAGGCCAGTGTTAATATATTAATTTCCTTATATTTTTGTCTCAGTGACTCTTTTGGTTTTAAATTATATAGGTATTGCCCTCTTCTGTAAAATAAATATAATTTGAGTGTCAGTCGCTTGTCCCCATAGCAAAATACCATACGACATAATGCTATGGAAATAACTAAAGTAAACTATTCTAGCTGTTTCAACACTGGTAAGAGTTCTAATCTTTTTCACAGCATATGCTGCAGAACTAAGTCTGCTAGCCAGTTTTGATATATGGGGGGAGCCATTGAAGCTTTGCGTCCAGTGTGATTCCAAGAAAAATGGTGGTATCAACAAGACTCAGTTGCCCCCCATTTAAAATTACATTAGTAGTGACATGTTTACATTTAGTTTTAGTTCCAATCAAATGCAAATTATTAACATTAAACCAATTGACTAACTTAGCTATAGCATTATTTACTTCGTCGTAATTTAATAACTGTCGTTTTAATTTGAAAATTAATAAAGTATCATCAGCAAATAGTACTATATCATGTTTATCCCCTACTATGTAAGGTAAGTCATTAATATATACAAGAAATAGAAAAGGGCCGAGAATTGAGCCTGAGGCACGCCCATTTGTACAATCGATCCGGAAGAACTCATACTGTTAATGACAACTTTTTGCGTTCTGTCACTTAAATATGAAATAATTTAAGAGCATCGCTTCTTACACCGTAGTGTTGAAGTTTCCTGATTAATGTTTCATGGTGAATACAATCGAAGGCTTTGGATAGGTCACAGAACACACCCAAAGCATCCTGTGAATTCCCCCATGCATCAAATATATATTTAATCAGCTCAACACCAGCATCAGTTGTAGAGCGACCCCTTGTGAAACCAAATTGATTTTTATGAAGTAAATTATTTACATTAAAAAATTTTTACATTTGATCAAGAATAATTTTTTCAAAAATTTTACTAAGTGTTGGCAGTACAGAAATAGGTCTAAAATTAGCGGGGTCCAATGTACTACCAGATTTAAATAAAGGTATTACTTTACTATGCTTCATTAAATCGGGAAACACACCAGATTCAATACTAGTATTAAAAATAATAGATAGTTGAGGTGCGATCGCATCTATTATAGACGCAATAACTTTAACAGAAATCCCCCACAGATCGGCGGTTCTCTTAATATCAATAGTCTTAAAATATTTTACAATATCTTTTGATGACACTTTATGAAATATAAAATTCTTTGTACACACATTTACATTTTGTTTAAGTAATGATTCGGCGACGGCAGGAGAAGAATTCAGTGACTTAGTGAAGTTAAATCGGAATATCACTAAAATATTTCTCAAAAACCTGATCTGATATATTTAATTTATTGTTAAAACTTAACTGGTAGTTTGAATTGCGAGAGTTGACCTTACCAGTTTCACTATTAATTATACTCCATGTCATTTTAATTTTATTAGAAGCATTCTTTATTTTGTTGCTCAAATACAATGACTTGGCGAAGGAGCACACTGTTTCAAATATTTTGGAATATTTTTTTTACATATTCCCTAAATTTGACGCTAGGATTATATGACCTTTAATTGTAAAGTTCATATAACCTTTGTCTACTCTTATGGATTCCTACTGTCGCCCATTCATTAAATGCTTTGCGATTGTTCAAGGAGAATGTTTTAGAAGTAAAAGTATTATTAAATTCATAGCAAATAAGCTTAAATAATGTTCCATACAAAAAATTTGGATTATTTTGGTATGAAAGTAATGGAAGTTTTTTTTACTATGTTACTTCTAAACTTCTCCAAGCGATGTGAATTTACTGGAAACACTATTTTTATCTACTTGCTTTTTGTGAACATAAGGTAATGAAACTCATTGTCCACAGTGATCAGAGCTCAATTTTTGAATTATGCATTTATTGAACGGCTTAACATTTGTAAAAATGTTATCTATACATGTTGCACTAGATTCAGCAATATGTGTTGGCTCCAAAAATAAATTAAAGAGACCACGAGATTTAAACAATGATCTAAATTTAATATTGGTGGAGGAAGTTTCTAGGAGATTGATATTAAAGTCTCCACATATTACAACAGATTTATTCTGTTTATTAAGCTTAGCGAAAACTTCCTCCATAATTTTTTCGAAATTATCATATAAAGAACATGGGGTCTGTAAACGCTTACAACAATGAGGTGCTCAAACTCAACACATCCCATTTCTACAGTTCGCTCAACAGAGAGGCTCACAATATCCTTTCGTTCTTTACATGATAATAATTTACTAGCTAAAATTAAGGAGCCACCTCGTAAAACCGTTTCTCTATTGAAATAACTGACCACCTGGTGATTACTGAAGTTAAACATTAAATTATGAGCTTTTAACCAATGTTCAGTAATACATATAATATGAATATTGTTGCTATTTAAGAACAATTCAATTTCTATTTCTTTGCCTATCATGCCTTGTATATTCTGATGCACCAGGTGTAAACAATTTTTATTATGATTTTGTGGAGTTATACAATTGCAACTATTAAGGATTTGTAAGCTACATTCTAAATTATTTAAATTATTATAACTGCTAGAGATTACCTCTATTGTCTCATTTTCTAATTTAAATTACTTGGAACGGATTCCAAATTACATGTCAAATCATTATGCTGCTCAATAGGAGCAGATGTCTGGGTAGCCAAGTCCTTGGCAGAGTTAATATATAAATTTTAAGATAGCACATTCGCTATCTGTCTTAAATTATATTTGGATAGGTAATACCTATCCGTAGTCAAAAATTTCTTAGTTAAATTATTAATGTCTATTAAATTAATTCTATTGGTATAATTGTTACAATTAAATATCAAATTTAAATTATTATTACTTGATAAATTATTCATTAATAAATTTAAATCATATCTTATTTTATTCTCCTGTGGCCAACCCTGTATGTAAGGTAATGTAAACAAGATTATTTTGTGAACATTTAAAGTATTGAGGTAATCAATATATTTTAATAATTGATTTTTGTTTACATTGCCATAAAGCACCCGAAACGTCGGGAATTAAAAATAAGTAAAAGTAATTAATTAAACGCGATAGAATCCGTAAATTTAGTTTTATTCAATCCGTAAGGTAGATAACATGCCGCTCTTTGACATTATTCTCTGACACGAAAATTTAATTTTCAAATCCATGCATTTCAAACCCTAGGCGTCGTAAGAGGCGACAGGGGGAAAATTATACAGAAAACGGGCAGAAGCATCTTCCTAATAACTGTAACTTCCTGTGAGGCATTCCAGGGAGGCCCGTGTTCAGCAGTGGACTTTTATAGACTGTAATGTCCGTCAGGTGATTATATACCACCATATATCGAAGGTCATTAGATTGCTCCTGCATTCAGCTAGACGAGTTGATGGATTATGTTATATTGCAACCGCGCGGCTTTAACAGAACGGATATCGTTCTTATCTTCATAGTCCCCTAAAAGTCCAATACTGGACATGGGCCTCTCCTAGGTCCCTCCTCCAGAATAAAGATACCATAGATAACTAATATATAGACTAGAGAAATAGGACCTCAGAGCAATAAGTAAAGCATATTGGACAAAGTATGATACTTTGTCTTAAAGTAAATCATAGTTATTGGTTTGTCTATAGGACAGAAATACAGAGGGTCTTGTTGTAGATCACAGAACATGATTATAACCTCTCTTGTTAAACCTGTCACATATATATTACAATAATCTATGCAGTCACTTTTGACATTATATTAACATGTCACAGTTGTACATATTTTTGTAGTAGTTTGTAAATATATAAGTAACACAAGCAATGAATATACCAGAAATAACATCTTACGAGGACCAGGCAATCGACGCAGTAGTGTCTGTGATAAACAGAGCGAAAGAGAAGTTGGGAGTTCGGCAGACGCTGAAGCAACTTGCGAGTTAGTGTGCTTCAAAATAGTAGTTACATTCTGTCCACCATACCTACCAGCCCGAGAACAGTCCACGGCTGGAAACGTGCCTCGCTTATGATGACATACGATCACACAGTCTACCTAATTGTTAACGGATGCTGTTATCAACATTCAAGACGCAATTAAATGCTTCCATATCATATCATATCATATGAAATCGTGTAACACAATTAAACGACTTCATTATCAATCACCATGAAAATTGATAAATATATGTATTTTTCAATGGAGAACGTTTATATTTAAAAACTAAAAACCATTGAAATTTTTTTAGAAACAAACAAAATTTAAAATGTTTGATTTTATTTGATTTTTTCAAACAAGCCCGGCAATTAATAAATTAAATTTCATGCGCTAAAATTAAAACGTTGCTGAACATTTTATTATTCAGCAAGTAAACTAATTAATAATTTATATTCGTATAAGAAACAAGTGAAAATAGTAACATTAATAATTGAGAGCTACATAATTTCTTTTATAGACTAAGGGTAACAAATGAGCACAGAGTCCACCTGATGGTAAATGGATGCTGTGGCCCATAGACATCTACATTTAACTTTGATTAAAAATCAAAATGCAGATGCATTGTTACTCCTGTGGACTAAGATGGAATGCCTCGCTTCCAGTAAAACGGGTTCCCGGTTCTCTACACTTACCATACGTAACACAGCCGTAATTAAGCTGCTACTTTTCGCTGGTATTCTGTGAGAGCGTGGTCCTTCCTTACTTGCCAAGAAAAAGACCGGCCGGCTATCCTGTTCAACTTAATTGTTAACTAGCTACTTAACTCACTAATTGCCGTTCAAACGAGATTTTCTACTTAACTCGCCAGGTTCGCAAGTTAACTCGCTCCTGTACTTTTCGAAGTGTAAATCGGTCTCTAAGCTAAATAAAGGCATAAGAAGTTACTTCAGTCGTATTAAAAAAATATAAGCACATACATCGATCATCAATTAAGAATAAAAAATGCAGAGGCAATGTCATCCTTGGACTTTGAACTGAGATGGAATGCCTCGGTACCAGTCGTTACCAAAATGGTCTTCAGTTAACTTTTTTACACAGATGCAATGTTTCCTTCATCTAAGATTATTTCGTTTTGTACGGTTGCAAAGTTTTACGTCATTAAATTGCACATTACCAAGTAGCCTCAGAACAACTAATTACAGACTAAACAAAACGTTGTCTTCATTAGTTTACGGCAGTCTAGCTACATATAGATATCTGGAGTTTTGGCGGGAACTTGGCCGTAGACGGCTTGTCGCTCCTGTTTTGTCGCTTGAATAATGGTTTGAAGTGGATTTTGATTCGTAAAAGTGATGCGATTTTGTGAATTAAGTGTCCGCGCGTGTGAACTATTAGAGAAAACGACGAAACAAGTGTTTTGAGGTCGATATAAACCTCAAGTTAATATGATCGCTTGGGCGCCTTATGAACTTGAGTGGCTGTCGTCATCAACTGTCCACTAGGTTGAGCTGTCGTCAAAATTTCCCAAGGGTTTCGCAATGTGACGCATCAGTATATTTTGAAGGAAAGGAACATAAAATGAAGATTCCAAAAGAAAGGATAGGCTCAGAAGGTCTAGAAACCAGAGCCGTAAAGCCAGTTAATAAAAAAATTATAGGTCTCTTCCAATACGCGCAACTTATCCCGACCGTCGGCTTTACGCAATTCAGATCGCGGCTTTGTCAAGTCATCAAGCTTTGCCCTTAACTAAGCATAGTCTCCAGTCTATCACCATGACATGTCCGATGCAACGGTAGTCACTTCTGCGACGATTTAAACTACATTGTCACTTCAATATAACCTCAAATGGCTTAGCAAGATCCTCCGTTATGCCGAAAATATTGCAGCATTAATTTTGAAATAAATATATGGTAAAGTTGAGAATTAATGTTAAGTACTATGTTAGACGAAAACATGATTCCGTAAAATTTTCTCGATAGAAAAAAAAACAAAGTTACCTCCAAACTGAACAATAAACCGCTGTTATTCATAAAATACTTTAAATAAGATCATGAAACTTTGTATCCTAACTGAACTAACTATAAAGCAGGGTTTATGTTTTTATTTATTTTTTAATTACCATTATTTTCACTGTAAAAAGAAATTACCTAAACTATCGGCGTCCTGAAGCTTGTTTCCTGCCGCCCGGTTCCAAGTTCCAAGTTCCAAGTTCCCGGTTCCATTTGAGGTTATATTCCCCCTTAATCTTTCAAGTCGGTACAGTCTATTGTTAAATCCTCGCGGTCCGTAAAGCTGCGGCAAAACTCAAAGCTAAATGTGGTAGAGCCACGGTGCAGCTATATTATGGTTGCAGCACAAATAGCCCAGCTCGATCGTAGAAGGACTACGCTCTCACGGAATACCGGCGTAAAACAGCAGCTTAATACTGCTGTGTTTCGTATGGTGAGTGTAAAGAACCGGATACCCTTATTACTGGAAACGAGGCATTCTGTCTTAGTCCGCAGTGGTAACAAAGCATCTGCATTTTGATTCTTAATAAAAGTTTAATGTAGATATCTATGAGCCACAACATCCCTACCCCTACCATTATAAGAACTGTGTGCTCTGTTTCTCAAACTTTTTCTATGAAAAAAAGCTACTGCGCTTGTGACGTTACGGATAAGACTTTAAGGTACTTTCTAATGTTCTTTGTATGCTGACAGCCCTGTTATTTTTTCTAGCAAGCCGTGATATCTACGGCTCCGCCGCCAAGGTGCCCCTTACTGGTCTCAAGATACCACTGGCAATCACCAGCGAACAATTGATCGCCGACACCATCGAGAAGAAATGGCGCTTAACAGACATCTTCAAATATTCCTTGAAGTATAAAGGCACCACGAAGGATGAATGTTCGCAGTACTTCTATTTTGAGGTAAGTTATTAACAGTTTATAAACAGTGGTAGCTAAGGTAATTTCAAAGTACGCGAGAAGCTCGGATTTAACCCCATCTGGCCAATGAAATTGTTAATTGCAATTTTAAACGCTGATTTACCACGTGCTCGGCGGTAAAGGAAAACATCGTGAGGAAACTTGCATGTTTGATATATTAAAAAATATTTTGAAAATATTTCAAGTCCGCCAACACTCATTAGTGCAGTGTGACAGACATTTCCTTGTATAAAAGTTCTCTTAGAAATGAGATGAGGCCTGTTTCTGGGACATATATAGACTGTTACTAAAGTTATACACAGCTGGACGTTAATTGACGACTGGTCATTGGTCAACTTACATGTAAAATACTTGGACGTAGTTTTTAAATCCCTTCTGTATCTAAACTTTGTTACGGTTACTACTGTGCTTTGGGCTTTATTCCTTTGTTGAAACTCTTCCAGACAAATAGAAATGGATATAGAAACTTTTTTATTCAAAATAAGTAGATATTAAATAATACAAAGTCACGCACATCGTGTCGAAATTCACGATACTATCCTAACCTTCTGGATGCTTGGCGGTCCACCAATGTGCATTTACCTAGGAGTTTTCTTCCTCGTACAACTTCTCTGTGGAATTGTTTACCACCGGCGATTTTACCGGACCGATACGACTTAGGGGCATTTAAGAAAAGAGTTTACTCCTTGCTAAAATGCCGGCAACGCACCTGCAGTTCCTCTGGTGTTGCGCTTGTTAATGGGCGGCGGTAGTCACCATCAGGTGAGCCGCATGCTCGTTTGCCCCCTCTTCTATAAAAAAATTAACTCTTATGTTTAATTTACCATTGATTAGTAATATACCTCTGTATTTGGAAAAACCTGCAAGAAACCCAGAGTGTCAAAATCACATTTGAAATGAATTTAACGCTCTTTTCGAGCAAATTGTCAGTCGTAATGCCATACCACCTATACGCATCGATTTGACGATATTTCAAGGATAATCTTAAAATTTTCCTACCTTTCAAAACCAAACTTACGCTCGTTCATTCCCTTATTCTACCTATTATCGACTATGCCGATGTATGTTACCCAGATCTGTCAGAAAATCTTCTAAACAAGTTGGAGCGCCTTCTTAATAATTCCATAAGATTTATTTTTGGTTTACGTAAGTATGACCACATATCATCCTATCGTTCAAAGCTTAAATGGCTACCTATACGTCAAAGGCGATGCTCTAGAATTTTACTTGTACTTTATTCAATTTTAAACGATCCAAGGTCGCCTTCTTATCTTAAGGATAATTTTCATTTTTTACATCCGATCGACGGTCGAACATCCCGACAGTCAAACCGTCTGAGGTTAAGGTTTCCACAGCATAAGTCAAATTTTTTTAGGTCGTCTTTTACGTTACAAGCCATACAACTTTGGAACACCCTCCCCAACGATATTAAGAACCACAAATAAAAAAGTCTTCAAAGTTCTTCTCCGAGAACATTACCTGAAGGAAACTACTAATTAACATTATTTTCCTTAATTTTTGTCTTTCTTTTCTTCTTTTTTACTTCAGATATTTATTTCATTATATATTATTCAAACATCATATTATATATATCATTCATTTGTATATTTATTTACGAAGTTTATAAGCATTTATATATATATATATATATATATATATATATATATATATATATATATATATATATGTATTATTGTATGTATATTTATACTATATGTGTATATATTTAAATGTAATGTGTATGTATGTACTTTGCATATATGTATATTTTAATGTAATTATTTACGTATAATGGTCGCACCTGCCAACAATTGGGTTGACTGGCAGAGAATGCCACATGGCATTAAGTCCGCCCTATGTACCCCTTTAGCTTAAGGTGTTACGTTTAAGTTTTTAAATAAATAAATAAATATTAAATATGTGTTACTATTTACGTAGGCTTCACAGCTCTTCACAAATCGCCTTTTATTCAGGGTCATAACGAGATTCTGATTACATATTTATATGAAAAGAAACAAGACAATACGTCTTAGAGACGGAGTGGTAGCTGCGTCAGAAAAACCACCAGCCCTTTTCTTCCAGTGGGTGTCATGAAAGGCGATTATGCGAAATGTCGGAAAAATATCATTTTTAATCATTTCTTTTATTCTATTATAATGTACGCTGATATAATTACATGGGTGTCAAACTCTCGATTCAGGCTATCTTTAGTCAACCGACGGCATCTTACCCTATACCACAAGCAACAGCCTCCGTGTTCTTTCGCGTCGAGGACAAGCTCATCGAGCCACCAGAAACACGAGGAGTACCAAAGGCTAGTGTTTACTGCTAAGAATATTAATGAGATTCAGAAATAAGTGGCAATGGACAGGTCATTTATTTCAAATATCGGCTTTAACAGCTATTGTCCGAAATATCCGATGACGGGAAGAGTGTTGTCAAAGGTGCGAGTCACTGGTACTATTCTGGTACTACGAACGACAATCCTTCTACAAACGTAGTGATTATGTTAAATATTTTTTACGGTGAGTTATCTCAAGACCATCAGTAGATTTTAACATGCTAGAAGAAGAAGGACCCTAGTACTGTTTAACTGATTTTAAATTATCAGCACTGAATAGATAGCTTAATACGGGAATTGAAGACCGTTCTTCATATCAATCCATGAACGGAAAGTGAAGATTATTTTTTTATGGAATGACGGTTATAAACGAGCATACAGTTGTAGACATCTATGTCTGTCGTTGATTAAAGAATCAAATTGCAGATGCGTTTTCAGTCATTAGAACTAAGATGTAACGCCTCGTTACCACTAAAATTAGACGCCGGTTCTCTACCCCACCGTACAAAATGCTGGTGTTATATGAAAGTGATCCTTCCTCGATCGAGCCGACATATTTATGCTATAGTTGAAGCATGGCTTTACCATAATATATAGACTATGTTCAGATGTGTACGTTTTTACCTACTGTAACTACTGGTGGCTAGCAAAAATAATGCCATTGTTCTAATAGTAACTGATTGCCCTAGTGGTTAACAAAATGAAAATTGTTTGCAGTGCATTGTTCTAATAGTAACTGATTGCCTAGTGGTTAACAAAATGAAAATTGTTTGCAGTGCATTGTTCTAATAGTAACTGATTGCCTAGTGGTTAACAAATGCCTATTCTGTGTGACCAATAATAACTGCACGCCGCTGCTGTAATAAATATGACCGGCGAACCAAATCGTATACGCTCACGCCTGTCACCCAGAGGGGTAGGCAGAGACTACAGACTTCCATTTGGCATGATCCTGACATACCTCTCTCGCCTCGTCCACATCCATATTCCTACGCACACATGCTCATCGGTTAAGGGTACACTTAAATTGGCCCATTTTCAATATATCGCCAATTTGATCGAAAAACTTTCACCCAGGACGTCCCTTTCCGACTCCACCGTGCACTTCTGTAACATAAATTTGCTTTGTCACTCTTTCCTCAAGCAACCGAAGCATTCCTCTCTTAATCCTGGTCTCAAAATCATCTGGCAAACCACACTCTTCTCTTATCATACAGTTTCTCGACCTGTCACTCAGTCAAATCGTTTAGTTCGAACATAAGCTATGTCGATTACTAAGGGGTTAGGATCTTCCAAGCATCTGTTTTTTTAAATGAAATGAAAAATGAACTGTCATGCTTCATGATGGTAAGTGGCAAATGCAGCCCATGTACACCTGTAATCCACTTAACGAAGAAGTTTACATATGTGTTGTCACCTGTGTGGACGGAGGAAGTCTAAAATAAAAATAGCCAATACCCAAAAAAAAAACCCGGACTAATATGGGGCTAGCAGCTTTAAAGTGCAAGACATCTCGATGTCTGCGATGATCGATCCGTCTTCCATGTGTGAGGATTAAGGCAAATCATCGCTATATATATATATATATATATATATATGTATATATATATATATATATATATATATATATATATATATATATATATATATACAATAAAGGTACTTGTTCATATCTCATGATGAGGAAGAAGAGATACTGATGTCTATGGGCCACGAAATCAACTTACGAAATAGTGTGATAGGAAAAGAAAATTATTGTAAGTGAGAAAAAATAAGAATATATGTGTTTAATATATGAACGCGAATATATGTGCGCGCGAGCGCGCGTGTGTGCGTGCGTGTGCGTGTGCGTGTGTGCGTGTGCGTGTGCGTGTGCGTGTGCGTGTGCGTGTGCGTGTGCGTGTGCTTGTGCGTGTGCGTGTGCGTGTGCGTGTGCGTGTGCGTGTGCGTGTGCGTGTGCGTGTGCGTGTGCGTGTGCGTGTGCGTGTGCGCGTCGTGTGCGTGTGCGTGTGCGTGTTCGTGTGCGTGTGCGTGTGCGTGTGCGTGTGCGTGTGCGTGTGCGTGTGCGTGTGCGTGTGCGTGTGCGTGTGCGTGTGCGTGTGCGTGTGCGTGTGCGTGTGCGTGTGCGTGTGCGTGTGCGTGTGCGTGTGCGTGTGCGTGTGCGTGTGCGTGTGCGTGTGCGTGTGCGTGTGCGTGTGCGTGTGCGTGTGCGTGTGCGTGTGCGTGTGCGTGCGTGTGTGCGTGTGCGTGTGTGTGTGTGTGTGTGTGTGTGTGTGTGTGTGTGTGTGTGTGTGTGTGTGTGTAAAATCTACACACATACACTAAACACATGTAAATATATATAAACGTATATTTACACACACATATACATCTGTGAGTATAGATTTTACTCTAGCGAAGCGTCTTATCTGTACAATATAATATGACTAAATATAAAAGTATAACAATAGAAGTTACGATACACCTAGTCAGGTATACCTCAAAACTAGAAAACAAGATTGTACAAGTGTGTGTTGCCAGCGAGTACTTATGGATCAGTGTGGGCGCGTGGTTTGGCGCGGCTTGCCGTCCACCACCTGAACGCGCCCCTAAGGGTGATTGCCGTGAAAATGGTTCGCGGCTACCGCACGACCTCCCGCGAGGCGGCGAGCCTCCTTGCCGGATTGCCACCATGGGATCTGGAGGCGATAGTCCTCGCGCGCCTGCACGAATGGCGCGCGGAGGCACTATGCCGTGGGGAAACCCCGCTGCCGCGGCAAGTTGTCGCGCAGCGGACAGACTTCCGGCACATTCTCATGGCGACGTGGAGACAGCGACTGTCGCAACCCCGTGCTGGGCACGCCACTATAGCGGCGATAAGACCCTTCTTTGAGGAGTGGCTTGAGAGACGCCACGGCATCCTCACCTTCCGCCTGACGCAGGTCCTCACCGGACACGGTGTGTTCGGGAGGTTCCTGCACTGAATCGGGCGGGAGGAAACTCCCGGGTGCTCCCACTGCGAGGATGGACCGGAGGACACGGTGGAACACACCGTGGAGGTGTGCCCTACTTGGGCGGAGCACCGCCGTGTCCTCGTAGCGGCGATAGGCGGCGGCGACCTCTCGCGTCCGGCCCTGGTCGTAGCCATGGTCCGGAGCGAGACGGAATGGGATGCCGTCACCACCTTCTGCGAAGCAGTGATGCTAGCGAAGGAGGTGGCGGAGCGGGAGAAGGAGAGAGCAGCAGCTTTCCTACCCGGCCGCCGCGGGAGACGCCCCGGGCGTCGGGGGCTACGTCGTGGCCCCCGGCCACCGTAGGCGCGGGCCTGTGGACGGCGAGCAATGGGTAGCTCGCCGTCCGTCCGTCTAACGACGACAGGCCGTGTCGACGGCGCGTTTTGTTCCACGCGCGCCTCAAAGAGCTGTCAGCAGCGTGAAGGGGCCCGCAAGGGCCGACGCCTGCCGGGGCTGCGGGCTGTTCGAAAGAGATACCGCGGCTCCGGAACGTAAGGGCACTGAAGGAACATGGATGGTTAGTCAGTAAAAGTCTGACACTCCCTTACGCTCCACCCAGAGCGAAAGGCGTCATTAGATGATTTTCCATCCGCAAAAAAAAAAAAAAGCGAGTACTTATGGATCTGAAACGTGGTCCTTTACTGCTGGCTGTATGAGGAAGCTCTAGGTCGCTCAACGAGCTGTAAAGAGGACTATGCTCGGTTTCTCTGCGTGATAGACTTAAAAAATAAGTATATCCGCAATATAAACAGAGTAACTGACATAGCCCATCGGATCAGTAAGCTGAAGTGGCAATAGATCGGTCATATAGCTCGAAGTACCGACAAACAATGGAGATAAAAGGAAAAAAGGCAACCTCGTACTGGTAAGTGAAGTGTGGAGCGACCCCCCCCCCTAGAGGGAGTGACGATCTGGCAAAACATACAGGAAGTCGAAGGATGCAGGTGGCTGAGGACCATGTTTTGTGGCATTCCTTGGGGTAGGCCTATGTTCAGTAGTGGACTTGTGAAGGGCTGTAATGATGATGATGATGATGATGAACAATAGAACTATTTCACTTATACAACAGCTGTAATTTTTGATATTTTTATGTTATATTTTATCCTATGAATAAATTATTACCTGAGTATTAAAAAATCGGCCCTTACTTGTATAATATAAAATTCACAGATGATGTTCAGGATTGAAGGACACCATAGCGACCACGATATTAGATATGTCAAGGTGGCAGCGGACTGGTTAATGGCAGTTCTCATGATGAAGACAAAACTGTTTCACAGAATTGAAAGTTACAATAAATTTTGATTTATCCCTAACACTTTACGAACTGTACGAACTGTGTTTTTGGAATAAAACTCTTAAAATACTGAGGAAATAAATTTTATATTTCTTTTTTTCTGATAATAATAATAATCTTCAATACAGAAAAGGGTTTTTATAGCTATGAAAATAAGGACTCGTTTGTAAAACTCGTAATATGCCATTTTACGTGGTAGAGTCATGTTACTACTTAATGTAACTGCAGCTATAATGGGTCGTCCAGGGGTAGGACCTCGCTCTCACAGACGTAAAGAAGCAAAATAAAGCTGCTGTTTTGTATGGTAAGTGCAGAGAACTAGAGAGATTTTCCTGTTAACGAGGCATTTTATCTTAGTCCTCAAGGGTGGCAACGCATTTGCATTTTGTTTAACAATCCCACGTGCGTAAAAGGTTTACTGAAAAGAGAAAATTTTTATTCTCTATGCCACTTCCATAATAAGGACGAATTGACGACGACACATTATATGTTAAAATTCATGGAGCCGTTTAAGCCACAGTGCGTTCCAAAGAAATAAATATACGTACATTCGTACTCTCGAAAAAACATTACCCTTCTGGGGCAGTCAGATAAAAACGGTCTCCGGTTCTCATTCACCATACGAAACACAGCAGTACTAAGCTGTTATTTCATGCTGGTATTCTGTGAGAGCGTGGTCCTACCCCGGTCGGGCCAACCTA